ACACCGATTCGTCTAAGGTAGAAAAAAAAAAAAACCATTCCTCTCAGTTTAAATAATTATAATATAATAATAAAACAAAACAAAAAAACGGGTTTTTGGTGACTGCCACCGTAGACTATGCTGCGAAATTGAGTTTTTGGTGGCAGAGCCGCCATGTGATTCTTGCCCCTTGTCTTGAATTGTTCTTTGGTTTTTGTTTTTGTTTTTTAATAATTATTTTAATTCAAAGGGTGTCGTTTTTGTAATTTTCAGACATTATACCAAACGGTGTTATGTCAAAGGCCTGAGAACTAACGACGAGGGTTACATTGAAACAATTTTTCAAGTGCAGATGGGAGAAAATTGATGCAATCGAGAGTGAGTGAAGTAACATTTCATTGATGCAATTTTTCAAGTTTGTAAGAACATGAATTTCATTGATGCAATTTTTCAAGTTTGTAAGAACATGAATTTCATTGATCCATTTCCCTGAACCTTTTTTTCCTATTCATTTTTTTTTCTTTCTAAATTCAAGTGAGTGAAGTAACATTTTTTTGTGGGTCATCAATATCATTATAGTAATGCTTTTCATTGACGTGATTAATTTTAATACAAACTTTCTTCATTTTTTTTTGTAATATAATGTAACAGAAGGAAACATCTATTACCACCACGTGTGATCATATTCATAACCCAGAAAATTGAAATTGTAATTCAAGAAAATTATAGTTTTAAAATTAAAAGTAACTACAATTTTCTTTTAAATATATTACATTTTGACCCCTAAGTAATTAATATGCTTACAATTACCCAACAAGGGCCAAAATGACCTTTTAAGACGAATATTTCATGGAATAAAAAAGATTTCATTAAAAGTACGTAACACAGTGGGGACACTGTGTAAGACGACAATATGATGGGGATTTTCGTAATTAGACTTTACCTCAGAAGTGTTTTTTTGATAATTTGTCTAATAATTATTAAATTTATTCCCGTCACCGTGTCAATATCTTTCTTGAGCCAACTGTATAAAAGGTTTTTTCAAATAAGAAATATTGATTAGAATGGTGATCAATATTGGCAATTGTCAAAGCAAGTCTACCGGATGAATGATTAATAAAATATATATAAAATGAAACATAAAAGAGTGCATTTTAGTAGGAATTAAACCCTCTCATGATCTTGTTACTAATTAATGATTAATTAGTGATTTTACCATACTTCAAACAATATTCGGCTTCAGTACTTAAATATACTAAAATTCTTAAACACCATAATGTTATGTATAACTTACTTCTCTTTCTTTTTCATTCTGATGTTCTCTGCTTATCACTAACTATATCTTGTCATTTCCACATCAACATGAACCATTGCCCTCTCTTCTCGGTTCGTTTACTACACAAAATAACTTCAAAAGAAACAAAAAAAATTGGCTATCAAAAGTATTATTTTTGTATTAAATAAAATATTAAAAGAACTATCAAAAGCAAATTCAATTCTAATAATTCGATAAAAGAAATAAAATTCACCTAAAATCATCTCATCACATATGACAAATCAAGAGAAACGGATATTTGTAAGTTCCAAAACTAAGAAACAACAAAAAAATATTTAAGACCCAATCAAGAAGATGAGCATTCTCTCACATCATATGGTGGTTTTTTGGAGGACATAGTTGCAAATTTGTGAAACGTACTTGTAATTGTCTAGCTCATTCTCTTGCTAGCTCTATTGAACTCGGTTGCGAAAAGGGTCCTTCTCTTCCCCCCTGCTTGGCCGATATATGCCTAATAAATTTCCATTTAAAAAGAAAGATAAAAACCAACTATAAGTTCATTCCATGTATAAAACAACAAAAAAATGTAGGTGAAAATAAGCAATGACCCTCATGGAAAAATTCGATAAAGAAGACGAGCAAAAATGTTGCTGAAAAATTAGAAAATCAAACAAACGAAAAATTAATTACGTGCTTACAATCCCAAAGACTCATGATTATAATCTATTTGTTATTTGTTAAATATTGATTTTTTCTTTTTATGTGTGGTTGATATTGTGTTGCATCATTTTATCAATACACACACATTATGACATATTAATTGTACATGTAGAAAAAAAAAAACCTCTAAACCGTTTTCTTGCTTACTATTAATTTGGATGCTAAATCTCACCATCTTCTCCAACATTCACACCTTACAGCGAGATACGCATTAGTTTCCGCCGTTTTTCCCACATTAAAGATAATGGGATTGAATGTGCATGAAAACTTTGCATCAGTTTTTGTTTCTAAATACAATAAATTATGGTTGGCTGCGGGTTCCTGCATTACCAAAAAAAAAAAAAAAAAAAAAAAAAAAAAATTATGCCACACTTAAAGACCCATTGTTGTTTATTTATATTATCTTTGTCAAATTGCATATTTGCCCTTGAAAATCTTACTTTAGCGTGGTTTGTTACAGGAGTAACTCATGAACTAAATTGATGGCCTTATAAATTGGATTTTTTTTAGATGATTAGAGATAAGTTAAATATAACGAAACCTAGCGTATAGCAATTATTTTAATCCATGGACAAATTAAGTAATAAAGGCATGTTATTTTGGGTAGATTAGATTAATGAAAAATTAATAGTTTTATTGTAATTTCAATTTGTGCTAAGTTAAAATTCCCAAGAATATTTTATTAGTAATCTTCGTTTTTGCATGAATTTGAAACAATTTCTTTTTGATATTATATTATTGTTCTACAACTATTCTTTCAATGAAATTTAGAGCATGAAAAATATAAAACTTAAGAAGAGATTTAAATAATTATTGGATTCTTTAGGTTACATATAGATATCAAAAGGTATTACAACTGTAAAATTTCTTAATTTGTAAACTTCAATTATAAATTCTGTTGTTATATATTAAATGACCTGTAGCTTTGTATTATTATTAATTATTACTCATTTATCCTATGTATATAATATAGGGGTTATTTTACATACCCCTAGCCACCAAATAAACTAGGGATAAACCCAAGCCCAAATCATCCTTTGACATAACCCCATGGGGAAGCGAAAGTACTATACTACCCTTATGTGCAATTTTCGGCCAAACTGCATTCAACATCTATGGTCCTGCATTTATCATTTTCGCTGATTTATTTATTATTATTTTCCTTTTTTTTTATATATAAATCTGTTTGTTATATATATATATATATATATATATATATATATATATATATATATATATATATATATATATATATATATATATATATATATATATATATATATATATATATATATATATATATATATATATATATATATATATATATATATATATATATATATATATATATATATATATATATATATATATATATATATATATATATATATATATATATATATATATATATATATATATATATATATATATATATATATATATATATATATATATATATATATATATATATTTATATATATATATATATATATATATATATATATATATTTATTTTAATTTTTTAATTTTTTTTAAATTAAATTTTTTTTTTTAATTTTTAATTTTTTTTTCAAAACAATATGTTTACAGTACTGAAAATAACTACATGTAACTATAGTACCTATAGTAATTCATAGTTATGTTCGTTTTTTCCCCATATTTTTAGTCGCTCAATTGTATACACACACGAATATTGACTTATACAAAATAAATTCATAAAACCCCAACAAAAATTTGCAAATTCAAATATTTTTATTATAAATCACATCAGAACCAATAAAATACAAATCGAAAATACATAAATATACGCATATATAACTACATGTTACT